ACTGTGCAGTTAAAGCACTTGCAAAAACCTAAAGTGTAACTGGTTTTTTCTACATTGTTCTACTTATCCTTCAGTAACAAGCTATGCTTTCATGTCAATTTTCCTGACATTATACCCCATACATTTGTAAGGAATTATGAAGAGCCACATTCTTAGGATTGATAGTGTGCTTATGTAGCGCCAACCTAAATGGAGGCATTGCTTTCTGACTCGGACCAGGAGATATTAGCATTTTTAGGAATTATGAAGAATTAAAAATCTCCATCACAATTGACACGGGCTTCCACCTTGGCCGTCAGTCTCAGCAGAAAGGCTGAGAGCTGAATAGGTAGAGAGAATGAGCTGCTCCCTCGCTGCTCAGGTGGTCTGTCTGAAGTCAGGGCTGAAGCACATGAGAGGATGCCTGTGCTGTCATCAGCTTGCTGTACTTACTCTGTGAATAGGGTTTCCATTTCAAGTGCCACCTATCTTGGCATCTCTAAGAAGAATATGAAGCAGCTCTTTATGGCTCTGCCTGTCTCTGAAACTAACCCCGGAACACGGTGTTTTAAGTTAAACTCCTCCAAAAGCACAGTGCTAACCTGAAAGTATGTCCTACCAAGGTAAACTGCAGCAATCAAGGGACTCAGCAGCTAAATAATTCAATACCCCGTCTACAGTTCACTCCTCAGTTCCCTTTCTCAACTTCAAATAACTCACTTCCACCACACACAGCCTACTTACTTATCTGCAGCCTCAAGCAACCCCAGAAGCAACTTTGACTTCAGCCACAAATGCATCAGTGCAGATCTTAACACTGTAATTTCCATATTAAAATGACTACCCAATTAAGAAGCGGAACTATCAACACAGACGAAGCATTCACCAAACTTCTCCTAACTGCAACCCACCCTAGCACAATGTTGCTCTTTGTGCCTGCCTTCGAGGCCGGACTACAAAGAGATTGAAGATCCTGCTCTAGCACTGGAGCTGACAGAGCCGAGTGTTTTAGCTCAGGCAGTAGATGCTTGCAGTGTTTGTTCCAGATGTGGTGAGTTCAATGCCCACTTCTGGTGATCTGCCATGGACATTTTGTTCCATAAACACTTCAGAGAAAAATTTAGTTTGCTGCTGCCATTTGCAATCTGGCTCCACCTCAGTTGCACATACTTCTACCAAGCCACACACAGTCCTATACTCAGGCAGGCAATGAGAGTCGCACCTCCTAAAAATTAGCACAGCATAAGAACGTGCAACTAGCAGTCTGAGCTAGGACTGAGTGTTAGCTTCACAGGTTGAAAGCAGATTTATATTGGAGAAGCTCCTAGAGTAGTGGTTTTTTCTCAATCTTTTTTTAGACTCAAGGTGCCCCTCCAGGACTTTTCAAAATTTAGCAGCATTCCATTAAAAATAATATATGATGTATATCATAATAGAAACATTCTAATCCTGTCATTAATTAAATATGGTAGCAATCAATTCAAGCATTCTAATTATATTATATTCACCCCAATGCCAGCACTGCTGCAGCCAGGTGGATCTCAGCTGCATGCCTCCTGCAGAGCCAGACTGAGAAACAGATGTGGTAGGAGTGTGTACTCTTGTCCAGCCTTTCCTGGTCTGGCCCTGCATGGTATATCCTGGATACACAGGTGTGCAGGGCACACAGACCTGTCCCACGCACCTGTTTTCAGGAGGCATGTCAGAGTTGAACTGAGAAGTGGCTGCAGCTGAAAAGCGTGCCTGCTTGCATTACAGCAAGCACTCTGTTTCTGCTGAAGTTCTTCCCAGTTTGCTTCCAACGTGCCTCAAGAAAAAGGGGCGTGAGGAGCAATTTCACCCCACAGTGGTGGTAGCCCAGTGTTGTGGCAGGTTCTTGCAGCACTTCTGATGAGAATCCCTGTCCCAGAGGCTTCAATCAAAGGCTTTACTGCGTTGAGGTCTGGATGAACACCTACCAAGAGAGATCCCTGCCTCACAGAATTATGTGGCTCTGCGGAAGTGTGAGAGCACGGGCAGAAAAGAGAAGGGGATGTAGCTTTAAAAATCATCTGAATGCTTGTTTGGTTGGTTGTGGTGGAACATGCGGTCTGCACCAGCTTTCCCTGATAACCATCTGTCAGGAAAGGCCCCTCTTGGTCTGCTATCTGGCACCATGTAAACCAGTACAGCCTGTCCCATAGCCGGATTGTCGACAACTAAACTGGTGCCCCCACCTGGGCTTGCCTGGGTGAGGAGGATGTGTGGACACCCAGCAGGACCAAAAACCTGTCAAAGGGTGGATGAGCTCCGTGCAAGCCAATGGCCATCCATGCCTGGAGAGGCGATGGGTCCCACCAGGTTATCCTGCCTGAAGAATCACCAGTGATGCAAAGCAACTCAGCTAACCTCACCAGAGTGGAGCAGGATTGTTACAGCATTTAAGGTGCCCTGACGGTTGCAGTGGCCTTGGGACTGACCTCCCCGATTACTACCTCCAAGCATAGGGATTTCCCAGGTTTTTAAATAAATGTGCATCAGTGGAGAAAGATACTAACTAATATAGCTATAAATGCTGTTCCTTATAGAGCCCAAGGTCTTATGATACTCTCCCATGGTACCCTTCCCACAAGCCCACCACAGATCCCTATGCTGAGCCCTGCGGCTCACATTCTCTGATTTTTCCGTTCTCCCTTCCACAACAGGTGCTCCCTACATTCTCACTCTTTACCATGTTCAGCTTCAAAATACTTAAATAATGCAACATTTAAAGGCTTGGTATGGTAGGGAATAGGATGGAATAATGGAGCATCAGGAATACTGCACTGGGGCATGGGTTCTGTGCAATCTCATGCTCTTCCCCAGCTAGAGGAAGAGCAGACCAGGTATGGTGACAGTGATGGAGACACTGGGGCTGCCTAAACATGGACTAATAGAATTGCACTGCTTCTAGACTGTATCAGGGGACCTATGTGGGTTATACTGTGGTGCTGGGATGGAAGAAATTTGAGTCTGTGATGTATATGGAGGTCAAATAGAAACATGTTGATGTGTCTGACCCATATGGGTATGTGAACTGGAAAATGTGGTGGACAATGGTTAACAAATGTCTGAAGTCTCCATTCAAAATGCATGCGGGCTAGGGTAGGTCAGAAGGAGGACAAGCATGGTGGGCACTGTTGATACCTGAAGATGGATTTAGGAGCCTAGTTGTAGGCTCTCACTTGACCTACATGCTCACTATACACAACACTTCTAATATCTGTTAACAGAGCTGTTTAAAAGTATTCTCCAGTCGTCTGCAAGGAAAGTGTGCTACTGAGTTTTAAAAGAACATTCTACCCAGATGCCTTTGGCCAAGTCAGACATGAGAAAGGTATAGAATATATTTTAGAAAATATAAAGCCTAATGTAGAACAATCTGATGCAGGTGAACTGTAGATCATACTCAAATATTGTAAAGGGGAAAATGCAGAGAAGAAGTACTGAAAGCACTGTGGGGCAGGGGAGGGAAGACATGACTATTACTTTTGGGTCCCGTGGGAACTGAAAAGACAACAGACAACATTTTCCATAGCAATTTCATAATAATGTAGCTCCCACCTACCATAACTCTCCACACTGGAAGTTAGACTAATTCTTTTCTTAGGCTAAACAATAATATTTCCAGACTGGTCCAGGCCTCTGCCAGATTTAACAGTCTTCCAATCTGGAACATGCCTTAGCCTAAGCTACACTCCCAAACAAAATGAGTGTTTCAAGAGTTGTACAAATCTTCCAAGATGGATCAACCTTTGTCTAAACCAGGCATCCAGACAAACAGTTCCAGGTTGCCTGTATTTTTCAAAACTTGTCTAACCTAAGCTTCCACACTACACTTACTCTTCAAAAACCCAGGCAAAACTCTACAATGCTTTTGTCCCAAAAGCTGATATCCAGCCCATCAGTGACTACTCTCAGAACACTCTCATGGCGTCAAAATGCCATTACATAAACTGATGAAAGGTAAGATGAAACCTTGAATATTGCACCAGATATTCTATCTCAAATAGGATGTCTCTGAAAAGTTTAAAAAATAGATAAAAAGAGAGGAAGAAAGACTACATATGACATTAATAACAATTGTTAATAGTACAACAGGAGAGATTAAAAAGATTAGACTATTTAGGTTAGAAAGGACATAAGGAAGCAACATGTCAGAAGTACATAATACAATGAATGCTAGAGGAAAGGCTGGCTGAGAGCTAATATTTACCATAGAGACATAGTTAATCATACCGTCTCTTAACGAAAGGCATGAGTACTCTTTGCAATTAAAGCAGCACATCTTGAGAACCTGACTAAAGGAAAACACTTTACCTACAATGCATAACCAAGCTGTGGAACTCAATGCCATGTCTTTCTCTTCTTCCTCTCCTCTGAGCTGCACCTATCATTTTGTTCCTATTTAGACTGTATGCACTTTGGGACAGGGGCTGTTATATATGTATCTAGCACCCACAGCAATGTCATTAACTGGGTGTTATTAGACATACAATAATTTGTGAGCTAATTAGCAAACCGAGATTTAAAAAGATTCATGAAGATACTGAATCACCAATAGTTACACTAAAATAAAAATGTATACAGGGGATCAGGGCATAAAGTAACTGCTAACTGCAGAATTGAGAAGCTTCTTGGAGTAAGGTTTGCCTCTTAAGGAGGTTTTCACTAGCTACTGCTGGAAACCACATTGTGATCCGGCTAGTCCAGTGTTTTGAGACTATATTCTGGGAAGACTTTTGGTGGGGTTAATGGAGAAATACAGAAAGTCTTCCCGGGGGGGGGGGGGAGTCCCACTCCAAGGTTCAAAAACCCAAGCTGTGAGAGCTCTCTTTTGGCAAGCATTTGTATAGACACTTCGTTAGCTCTGTGAGGAGATTTCACAGATCTCAGTCTTTATTAAAAGCAGTCCCTCAATGAAAATGAGATTTGCCAGAAGTGGTAAGGGATGAATCCCTGATAAACCTGTACCTTCTTCAGATGGATTTCTTTGTACTTACATTTTGTCTTGGCCAGCACCCACTCTCAGTGTCAGTCTGGGAATAACTGGTGATGAAGCTGGAACAACTGGTTCCACCTTTATCTGTTCAAGGGAACACATTGAACAATTAGAGGCACTGCTTCTCTAAACAGATGTTCAACATTTCTTTATTAGCTGTGAAGAAACAGATAGCCAAAAAGACTATTCATTTAATCAAATTTTAGATTCTTACCCTCTTCCAGTGCTAATAACTGTAGCATGAAAGGACACACGGTTTGCTGAGAGATCTCTGCAACACCTAGGCACCACTACGATTGGAAAGTCAACTTATACTTTTACTGTGCTGGTAAATGTTCATACACTGTGCTAATATAAATCTTATGAATTTGATATGCTTGTAGCGATGTGAAAGATTAAGTCAGCCTCAACACAAGACTAACATGTCAGTTGTAAAAAATATATATATTCCTATTAAGCTCAATACACCTTTGAGGGAAATATTCTCACAGACTTTTATTAGGAGCCCAACTCTAGTTGTTTTTTTGTGTGTTCTTCACTTTGTTTAAACTACTCCACAGTCCGATGGTGGGGAACTGGCTCTGAGATTGGACCCAGAGACTGGTAGTTGAGGGAATTGAATCAACATGGCACTTGGTGACTAGTGGTGTCCCCCAAGGCTCCATTCTCGGACCTGTACTCTTTAATGTCTTCATAAACCATCTAGACACTGGTGTCAGAAGCGGACTGGCCAAGTTTGTTGATGACACCAAACTTTGGGGAAGAGTATCCACACTTAAGGACAGGTTGGTGATCCAGGCCAACCTCGACAGGCTTGCAAGGTGGGCAGATGAAAACCTGATGGCATTCAATATGGAGAAATGCACCTCAGGGGAAAAAAACTGCGTCACACTTACAGGCTCGGCAACGCTACACTCACTAGCACCACAACTGAAAGAGACTTGGGGGTCATGATGGACCCCAAGATGAACACGAGCCACCAATGTGATACCGAAGCTGGCTAAGTGAACAAAACTCTGGCTTGCATCTACCGATGCATCTCAAGCAAGACCCAGGATGTCATCTTCCCGCTGTACTCAGCTTGGTGAGGCTGCAGCTGGAGTACTGCATCCAATTCTGGGCTCCACAATTCAGGAAGGACATGGAGAAGCTTGAAAGAGTCCAGAGGAGCGCCATGCGTATGATCAGAGGGCAAGAGAGCAGGCCTTATGAAGAGAGGCTGCAAGCTACGGGACTCTTCAACCTGGAGAAGCGCAGGCTTAGGGGTGACTTGGTGGCAGCCTATAAGTACATAAGGGGTGTGTATCAAGATCTGAAGGTACACCTGTTCACCACAGCATCTCAGGGGATGATAAGGTCCAACCGTCACAAACTGAAAGACCATTTTAGGCTGGACATAAGGAAAAACTTCTTTACTACCCAAGCCCCCCGAGGCCTAGAACAAACTCCCCCCGAAGGTGGTGCAAGCACCTGCTCCGCACACTTGTAAGAAACATTTGGACGCTTATTTTGCTGGGATCCTTTGACCCTAGCTGACTTTCTGCCCCTTGGGCAGGGGTTTGGACTCAATGGTCTTATGAAGTCCCTTCCAGCCCTAATGTCTATGAAATCTATGAAATCAAGCAGTTATTTCTCAAATTCAGAAACCCCCCTAAAGAACCAACTTGGACACAGAGAATGAAAAACCTAAGCAGTTCTCCTAAAATCACTTATGCAAGTGCTGAACAAGATACTGATGTCTACAAAGTCTAGTGCATGCCTAGGCATTTGTGATCTTGGGACCACAACAAGTAAGTTCTGTATTACTGTATTACAAACAGGACTGAGGCTACAAAGGGCCTGAAATTACATCTGCTCTGTGTCCTCACTCTTATTTCAGCCAGTAAGTGCTGCTACCTCTTGGCACTTAATTCCATTTTTCTGGGTGAAGATGGAACAAGGCCTACATTAGCTTGCTCAGCACTCCCCAAGAGAGAAAAATATCTTGTGATCTTTCTTTGAAAAAAATTTTCATGTTAAGCACTTACTTAAGTCTCTCCCTACTCAACAAACCACTTGAGGACAAGCTTAAGCACTTGCTGAATGAGCGCCTTCAAACTAAATGACACAAAGGCTTGTTTTTACAAAAAATTATCTTGACTGCTGGGTTTTGCGATGTGTGCCCATGCTTTGCTTGATGGAAGAGGCAGCTTTTTAAGGATGCCTGTTGAAAAGAACAGGGCACACAAATAATCCACACGAGAAAGAAGTTGGTGTTACATGCATAGGAAGACGGCAAGGCCAGAGTGCAGGACTCAGCTGGGCAACTAGGTTGGGCTACTTGGTGTACCAGTTATATATTCTTATGCAGAGCTCCAGGCTGGTGAAAGGTGGGCTGTGTATACGTTGCATTTTCCACACAAAGGAACTGAAATCTGACTATCCATCGTATTTTTACACAGTTCATTGTGCTGTGCAACAAAATCATCTGTGGATTAGTTTCAGCCTCTCTCTCTCTCAGACTTTCTTCACCTTTGTTTATACAGCACAACCTTCCTTTCTGTCATTCCTCATGCTGTGCAGCAGTTTTCTTCCCTCCGGCTCCTGCTGTCTGGAATAATTTTGCTATTTCTCTGCCTCGCACATGCCTCTTAAACCTGATCTCCAGTCACTTTGTTAAAAGCAAACACGGTCCCCATTAGACAGGGAACCAGACTAGATCTAGGACTCAGGTTCTGCTCCCAGGCCAGGCATGGATCTGCTGTGACCTCGCAAAAGTCACTTCACCTTTTAATGCGCATTTTCTCTCCTAATTGTCTTGTGTGTTTACACTGTGAACTCTTAAGGCTGGGGCAGCATCAGACCAGTGGGAATCACAATCTCAATTGGGATATCTCTGCAGTACTGTAACCCACTACAAGCCAAATTATGGCTTGGTTCATGTGGCAGCATAAGGATGCATAAAGTGTACCTCTAGCACCACAGGAAGCTGCATGAGAAGAAAAGCAGGCTTCACAGACCTCCTCATTTCTTCCCATAGCCAGTGGGATGGAGGGCTCCCTCTCTACAACACGTCTGTGTCATCATGTAGGTTTTATACCGAGCAGCTTACTTCTCACTGAGCAGTGGGGAAACTGCTACAATCTCCCTCTGGGGCTGTGCCAGGGGTCAGAGGAGTGGCCTGGGATAGTCCACAGGCTGGATGAATGGTGTGGGGCTGGGTATGCAGGCTGGATCAGGCCCACAGACTGCTCTCTGCATGTCAGATGTGGCACCCACATTGGCACTGGCCAGGGCAGGCATCATGTGCAGTGCAGGTCCTAGACTGGTCATAGCAGGTACCACGTGCAGTGTGGTTCCCAGACAGGCCGGGGTGGACATTGTATGTAGCACAGGTCCGTGCTCTGTGCACGCATGTGTGGGTCAACTTGAGACCCAGGGAGAACACTGGGGATCGGATGACGGGGCTCTACGAGCTGCATCTTTGACTCCACTGCTTTAATTCATTAACCATGCAGTCTTTATGCTACTGTTTTCTGTCATTTGTGCAGTCCACTGTCTGCTACCCTGCATTTATCTGTCAAGCAATGCAGCATACAGCTATAATGCAAGCGTTTAGAACAAGCCATGCTGAGGTACGAACCTGATGCTGATTTTACAAGCAGCAGTTCTAACAAAACAGCGTGCTCTAAATTAGCAATGTTCCTGTCCCACCTTCCTTAGAGGTAACACCATTTTTAAATGTACAACTCATCACGACTATGTTATTTAACAAACTGGACACTTTAAATGCAATCAAGTTTCAAGTGCGAAGAGACTGTGAACCACAACCCATCTCTTCTGGCGTCCTCGTTCCTCTGAAAGGGACGTGTCATGGAATGTTAAGTGTCCAAGCAGTAACTTGATCATTTGCACTTACAGCACAACTGCTGCCTAAGTCAGTCATTGTGTGATCTAAAAGCTAAATTAAGGAAACATGTATTTTGAGGGGTTAAAATGAAAGAGCAGCATTCTGGAGTAATACTGGGAATTGGGGCCAGCAGAAGAGCATTTACAGTGGATTACTAAGCTTCCCAAATCACCAAAGAGGTAAAGTCCAGCAATATAAGACTCCTTTGTAGCTAACTAAAAATACATTGTCAGTGGATTTGTCCAGTTTTATGTATAAGCAATACTTCTTTCACCTGAACTAATACTAGTAGTCATATAAGCCCCTTATTGCCATGTGCTGCATTTTTTTTGCTAATCTTCAAGGATTTAGCTTCTTTGCCACATACCTCAGGGCACCAACTGATAAAGCTCTAACTCTCCATTTTTCCAGGACACCAGCAGTGCGGCCTTGCAAAAAATGAAAATCGCTCAAGAGATTTAAAGGGGAAATTTATTTTTAAAATCCTGACTTGCAGCAAAGAGGTGGATTTAAAAAAAGCTTATCTATCAAGAATCAGTTTAAATTTTAATTCTATCTGGGGACTCTTTCATGCATTCTAGCTTTAAAGTTTATCTTTTGACAGGGACTTTTTGCCAAGGTAATGGGCAGCTTTGTCAATCTAATCTGTCCAAGTTTTTATTACTGTTGAACTCCTTTTCCTAATATATATATATATCTAATAGCCTGTATATAGTATCTATAATAATTTACATTTCTTTGTGTATATTATGTTGTGTATATATTATATTGCTATAAATGAAATTAGAGCAGAGATAAGCAGATTATATACAACAAAAATACTTGTGCAATAGGGATCATGGGATATGTGAAAAATAATTAGCATCTTGAATCCATGAATGTGATTTCTCTGAAATGTCAGTATTGCTGAGGAACTGTGCAAACAAAATAAGGCCCCGCTGAATAGTACATTCTTTGCAGTGTTCCAATACTTAGACAGGAAGAGTTAAATTAATAGAGACAGATGGAACAGTACCCCTGACAACCTTCACATTATCCATAGCACATGTGAGATGTTAATTTTCAGAGTGTCTGGACTGCAAATGGCAAGCTAGGTTTGTCAATGTAAGAAAGATTATACCAGTCTTTGAAACCAACAATACTTGTTACTCAGATACTAGAAAGCAGACAGTAGGGTCTAATCCTCTGCAGTGGTACAGAGAAGAGTTCCAAGCTGAGGCATTCATACTGACTGTGTACGTGACTCAATGCTGAGCACAGAGAGGGCCTGGGTAAGTTGATTGGAACTGGTGCTTCTAATATCAAAACTATAATAGGAGACGCTGTGAAGGTCACGTGGTTTTCCATCTCTTCTGTTTTCCATCAAGATGCTGTATATTGTAAGAAGGGATGAAAGAGTAACTCAAGAACAGTGCTCTTTGTATAGGATCTGCAGCAGGAGAAACAGTTTCTAATGTGATTTAAAGGCTGGTCAAATGGAACTAAGCAGCATTGTTTCATACGTTAAATATCTGATATATTCCCAAGATGAGGTGATTTACATCAGCTGGCAAGATCAATAGCAAGTGGTTCTGAATAGCCAAAGTCAATGTGGATGATCAGGCCTTTTGTACGTGTAGGCTCCTAGTGTCTGAAGTCAAAATGAGGGGCCAGTTCTGAACATTTGTGTTCCGAAAAAATGTTACTTTGATCCATGGGAAAACAAACTTGGCGTCTTGCTAATAAAGGAACTTAAGCTCTTACTGCACAATTAAGAGGATCAGTAGGATGGACCCTGAGACTTATTTAGAAATTTGTTTTTTTGCATTAAAGAGAATAGGCAGAGCTTGGAAGGGCAAGTAATGGGCAAAGCCATAATTCAAGCTAAGTCTGCTCATCATGTCCTCTCTTGCATTTACCTCTTTTCTAGTAGGCACTACAATTCCACCAACTCCAACAGAGTAAGCATTTCGAAACTCAATTGAGAGTGCACATGAAAGATAGCGGAACTGACCCTACAAATGGATGGATCTCTACAGAACCTGTGTGCAAGATGCAAGCGTCTTTCAAAAGCGATATTAGTGTGCCTACGTCTTGACCTAGAAGACCCACCTTTCTAGTGAAGTGAGTGGATACAAACTAGAATCCTGCTCCAGGTAAAATGGAAACAGAGAACAGATAATCCCCACATTTTGGTTTTGCAAATCTAAACAAATAGTATTTTTAAGACTACCTTGCGCTGACCATGACAAAAGTGGGACACATCCAGATACTTCCAACATACATCCTTAGCTTTGGGGGCCATCTGCATTTCTCCACGGAACTGTACAGATACCTAGATTTTTATACAAAACTGATGACAAAGTGTAGGAATGTGTGGGAACTGTGGACATACATGCAGCAGAAGATGACATCTAAAAAAGCTTACTTTTTCATGTTTGTGTTTTTCTTTCTCTTTTTCTTTCTTTTCTCTCTCCTTCCTCTCTTTTTCCTTCTCTTTCTTTTCCTTTTCTTTGTCCTTCTCCCTCTCTTTCTTTTTCTTCTTCTCTTTTTTGTCTTTCTTCTTCTCTTTAGGCTTCTCTTTTTCCTCGAACAGTTTTTCAGGGAGCATTGGGGACAACGAGGGCAACATGGTTGGAAGTCTCATGGCAGCAGGGGTGCTGAACAAGGGCAAAGCCACTTCTTTGGGAGGTAATGCAAGAGGTGCTGAGGGAGCCTTTATCTTATCTTCCTTACCTTTATCTTTAAGCTTCTCTTTGTCTTTCTTATCTTTGTCTTTTTTGCCTTTTTCTTTATCTTTCTTCTTATCTTTATGCTTCTCTCTCTCTTTTTTGGTGTTGCCATCTTTCAACTTCATTTTTGTGTCAGCTTCCTCAAAGTCCTTTAATTTGAACTTATAGGGATCAAGATCATCATCTCTAAGCAGCTCCTTCCACGGAAACTTTGCTTCCTTGTTCCCTTCTTTGTCTTTATCCTTCTCCTTGTTTTTATCCTTATCTTTGCTTTTCTCTTTATTTTTCTCTTTGTCTTTCTGCTTTTCTTTTTTCTTTAGTTTTGTCCTTAGCTCTTTTTTCAGTTTCTTTTTCACTTCTACTGATGAAGCCAGTTTGGTTTTCTCCTCATAGACTTTGAGAAGAGGTTCTGGTGTTGGTGGCGAAGCAGAAGGAGAGGAGAAATAAGGGAAACTGGTAGGCGGGTTAGACGGTGTCCCCATGTTTGCCTTTCGAATGACCTCATCAATTGAGTCATCCATTGTCCATGAAATGTCTGAACTTGACGTGCCTCCTGAGAGAGGCAGTGGGGTTGCTCCTATTTTATTTAAATTGTTGGCAGAAACGGAAGCTTTAGGGGCTGTGGTCTCTGAAATAGAAAGTCTTTTAGGACTGGTAAACATTTCTCCCTCTGATTCTGAACCAGAGGAAAACTCAAATGGATCAGGTTCACGTTCTGCACATGCACGGGCAATAACTGCATCAATTGAATCATCAATGGTCTTGTCCATCACTGGTACTTTCTTCATCTGATTTTCACTGTTTGGTTTCCCAGGCTCAGGTGGTGTTTGCCCTTGTTTTACTTGGATGTTCTCTTTTCCCATCTTTTCACTTAATGCAGCAAGGGGGGTTCTGCTTGGTGTTTCAGGTTTGACTGCTGCTGGAGAAATGTGAGCAGGAACCTTTGGACTTTTAGGACTTTTGGGGCTCTTGGCACGACCTGGTGACTTTTTCTCTTTGGATCCAGGTTTTGGTGAACGTAGGGGACTTCCGGTAATGACTGGTGATGGAGTAGCTTTAGGCGATTTTGTTTTCTGTCCTGGAGAACCAGTTTTAACCTTTGCCTTGGGCACAAATGGTTTTGTTTCTAATGTTTTGGGGGTAAGCATTTGTGATTTTGCAATGGGAGCCAACATTGGAGGTTCTGGTGATGGAGGGGCTAAGTCTGTACTGTCCTGAACGTGAACTGGAGACAGCATTGGTGGCACTTTTTGAGTGTTTATTGAACTAAGAGGTTCACGTGGTTCCAAAACTCCATCCAGGGCATCCGCTTTAGTGAGAGCTAGTTTTGGTCGTTTCACAGCAGGCATTTCCTCAGTATCGGGACTTTCCAATGGTCTCTTGCCCATGAAATTTTCATCATTAACAGTCTCATCTTCTTCCATATCTCCTTCTTCTTCCAGGGGAACCTGCATGGCTTCTGCTGATGTACCTCCATCAGTGGGGACCTGTTCCTCTTCCTCCTCTGCAACAACAAAATTTTTAAAAAATGTTAGTGGGGGGGACCTTAAAAATGTGTTTATACAGGAACAAATAAACTACAGTAAATTACTAATTATGAAGGCAACTGTGTTCAGACCCATTTTGGCCTGATAAAGTTACTTATCATTAGATGGCTTCTTACAGCCCTACATGAAGCGAGTGAAGAGTCTACATTCACGTAGACAGCTGTCTGCAATGCAAAAGCCATCATCACAACTGACACTAACTGGAAACCTTGCTGGCAGCCTCAAACCAGCAATCAAATGGGCTTGAAGCAAGCACCTCTCATTCCTAAAGGCAGACCTCCCAGAACATGTTTGTGTCTCACTGGCAAGACAAAGAAGAGTTTCTGCCTTTGCTTCATCTGTTCTACCAGATCCCTTAAATATAAAAATACCACTTCACCCACAAGTGAAATAATACCCAGATGCTTTCTGTACCATCAGAACTTGCAACTGCAAATCCCTTCAACCACTACTGTTACCTACTGCAGTTTAGATATCAATACATCTGTGAGACTAACTTCAAAAATACAAGTAATATTGATAAGGTTTGCCATTAGAATAAAATAAACTTCAAAGTGCACAGCAATTAAAAATACTGGATTTAAGTTACGCACACATCTTAGGTGCATGACCCTATTTTCACTGTAGGTTGACCAACAGGAGTAATCCACAGATTTCTTTGGTGCCTTTATATAAACGATCTGCATTTTTGTTCATTGCCAATACAACCCTAATTTTGAGAAATCTATTGTCCATCTTAACATGCCAAGTCTGCTTTTCTGGAGCAGTCAAATGGTTAAAGCCAACAAAGGCACTGGCACCTGGTGGGGTAGGACTCCAGCCAGTGCTGCACATGGAGGGGGCGCAGCCACGCTTTTCACTACTGCCACCCCTTTGGGCACGGGCTCTGCGCTGTTCTCCCGCTACAGCTCCGCCTCCATTGCCCCTACCCCAGCACCTCCCCCGTGTTTCCCTACCTGCTGCCTGGGGAGAGCTGGACGCCTGGGAAGCCAGGCAGGCTCCCATGGGGGTAGGGGGCAGCTGCATGCCCCCACCTGCCCAAAAGCTGCATGCTTGGGGGGTGGAGGGGGGCCCTTCTGCCCATGAGGGTGGGAGCAGGTGCAACAGGGTATGTTGGGGTGTGTGTATGCTGAAGGGCTGGGTGGGGCACAATTTGTTGGTGGGCACTGCAGGCTGAACTGAAGTGCCTGGCGGGCCAGATGCGGCCCATGGGCCGCATTTTGCCCATCCCTGAAACAAGGTAACAATTTCCATCACGTAAGCTTTGGCTTATGTGAAAGTACAATTTGCATGTAATCCACAGGGAACAGAATAAGGAGCAGTCTCAGCTCTTCACAGGCTTCTACTTAGTTACTACAAAGAAAGATCTTTTTTTCTTCATTCTGCCTTTCAAAAACAAGGGGCATGGTAACTTCTTCACCAGGGTTGTTTGGGTTGCACATATTTGTAAAGGTTTTTAAGGCTCTTGCATAGAAGACACTACAAATTGCTTATTACAGTGAAGTAGTAAAAAACCCCCACTTTTTTAATAAGCAGGTGATTTTTAAGAAAAACACGTAGAAAAACTCACACAAAATGCTGAAATTCTTTCAAGTCTTTTAAAATTAGTGATTTTACTAACTAGCGCTTTTGGTAGAGTTTATTTTCAGGTTTTCAGTGCTGATGTTTCTCAACTGTAATGTGTCAATGCCCTGATTTAGGAGAGTTCAGTCGAGAGCCCTGGGCTGTCGCTCAAATCTTGCTAGCATCACAAATTACGTAAAATGAGCTACCAGCTCCCGCTTTTGCCAGGGCCCAGAGGATTTACAGCAGCCAGCCCAGAGCATAGACTTTGCCTGAGGATAAAGCCTTTGCCTCCCATGAAAAACAGAAAGTGTCGAGGAGTTGGATTTGGCCTGGATGGGCAGTCACATTTTATATTTTAAATACCAAAGTTAAGCGTAAAACTGAGAAATCACTGTTGGCCAAGGCTGTGCCTGCTAGAAATAAGATCTACCCAATGTTTATCCTTCAGGATCCTCAAGTCAGCTTCAAGCTCTGTCTGATCTGTTATATGAATAGGTTTATCCTTAGGTTCCAAACTAGCACGAGCCTGAGAAGGAATAAATATCAGAGTTATACAGCACTGATGCTGCTTCAGCATACGATTTGGGATGCTATCTCTATTTTCTCCCAACCCCACTAAACACATTTACCCCTGAGGAGTTTATGTTCATTTAACAAAAGACAGACAGACAGGGAGGAAAAAATATGATATCATTTAACAGAAAACCTAGACTTTAAAAGTCAGAACTACATACTTCGTCAGGTTACAAAACTGAAAACATGGCCAAATCCAAAGCCTCAGAGTAAGACAGGGAATATTGTTGTTTTCATTTTAGGAGTGTCAATAAAAAACAATTTTATATACAAATTTACGGAGTTGTAGAGGTACATGTAGCATTAAACAAGATGAAAAACTGCTGTAGCTAAATTACTCAAAACCCTTTTAAAAAAACTAAAAAAAAGTATATATACTTTAAAAAATAAACATTCACTAGCCAGTGTTTTACTTTGTGTCTCAGTTAGAGAGCTATGCTAATACAATGTTCCCCACTAGCATGAATTATAATGTAATGTTTTGGGTTTTTTTAAGGAAAATTGTGTGTCCCAGGTCAAATTAGCCAAGTCAGGTCCAAATCCATTTGAATCATCCAAGAACCATATGTGGCCCTGCTACCAGCAAGTATCCTCCACTCCAGCCTGGGGCTTCAGATACTTCCAAACCCTTTGGCAGGCATCCTATGCGCAGGCCCAAGCCCAGAGACTTGGGGTTTGGATGCCCCCGAGTTTCACTGCCCTCATCTGAATGGCAGCACAAACAAGGTAGGGAGGAATCTCCCATTTCCATAAAGTTGGCGTGTAGCCGAGATCCTCCCACTGGAAGCTGGCCAGTGGGAAGCTAACTATGAGGCTCGCATAGGGAGTCTTGTCTGCCAGCAGACAAGGGTGCACCTTCCACTACACAGTGCCATTTTAATTGCATTATCTTGTGCAGGGTATTTCCCTTGACAGGTAAGTATTACACTTGTGTAACTTTTCAACCCAAGGTGCTTCTATCTATAAAACACTGTGGGTCATAGGCTGTGGCACTGACAACCAATCCATGGTAAGGGCTCTGAATAAAAAAGTTTGGGGAAGCCAGAACAATTTTTCTTCAGTGATATAGTGGTTGCCCGTTCTTCTAAGACACAGGAAGGTCCACACAGCCAAAGAGGTTTCAAAGGTCTTGCTTGAAAAAGCTTAGGAAGGACAGGGGTTATTTAAGTCCAGTTTGCAGAGATGAGACTAAACCTCTAGGCCCCTTGGGTCACAGATTCATGCATATTCCTATAAGGACAATTTAGTCCAAATGCAGAAGCATCAGCTTTCCTTTTGGAAGAATCTGGATGATCTGAAATGTGGGGAAAAGCTGTCTAGGCCAGGTCTGAACAATTCAAAGGCTATTAAGGAAGATTTTGAGCACGTTACTACTGACACGCATGGAGTGCTCTTCATGCATGTTTGCAAGGCAGTCTAGCATCATACGGTCAAGTGAAATCCAAATTTCATTTGACTGGGCCACTGAGTGGTCCTAAATGATTTGAGTCCTACCACACAGGAAATCTCAAAGCAGAGTTATTATAGTGGTGGCCCTGGTAATAAATATTTGCCAAAATAAATGCATGGCAAGATACTCCAATAAAAGAAGATGAATGCCCCAAACATCTCATTCAAGAACTAGCTGATCATTTTCTTCCCCCATGGGGGAAGACGGGGCAGAGACCATGCGCAGGAAAATGTTTCTTTCCAAAAGATAATTTGCCTATGTTATGACCATTTGAAAACACAGCGACAAAGGCTGCAGCGGAATTGTTTTTCAGCATTCGCTCCATCAGTTGGCCTCCCTACGCTACCCTACATGCAATACTTGCTACAGTGGATTGCTTTTAACTGTCTTCACTGTGATCTCTCCTATTTCCAGCCACCTTATGAAAGGCACCACTCCTGAGTTAGCATCTACAGGTCAAATGGATATCACCTCAGCCATCTGGCCTAATAACTCTCTCCTGTAATGAAAGGAGACTCAGGCTGTTTGGGAGGTTTTTCAAGATAACGGATATTTTTGTAAGAGAAGCCAGTGCTGGATCAATATTAATGCTCACATCATTAAGGTTATACTCAGTAATTGTTTATTACAACAGCAGTTCACCTCTGGAGAACCTGGGCTGAAATGCGGCTTAGGTTATAGGGGAGATGAGTTCAGCTTTGTCAGCTTAGCCCTGAATGCGAATCTGTCCAATACCCAAATCAAACACACAATCTGACAGCTGTTAGTTCGCTTCTCATGAGAAGTCCACTCTTAGGGGATGACAGGTCTGACTGCAGTGTATTAGAAGAGATATGGGAACAGGCTGCACACAGCCTGACCCTACCTAATGAGGCAAGTTTTTCACTTTCATGAAAGGATGATCCTCTTGTTTAAGGCACAGGCATAGGAGAGCAGGGATCCAGGTCTATCCCAGCTCCGCTGCAGACCCCATTATGGGATTGCAGGCAAGCCCCTATACACAGTCCCAATACCCCATCTTTATGATAAGTATGATTTTACTTCTTTCACAAGGGCATTATAAGGCTTAATTTAATACACATAAAAGGCTTTGAGAGCCCAGGGAGAAGGCACTGAAATTCTGTGGATAAGCAGTAAGACTATGTCAATGTTTTTTTTTAAACATGGCGATGATGTTAAGCTGAACAATTTCAGTTGACAAAAGATTAGACCTGATGCGTCCGATTTAACCGAAACAGTTCAGGAGATGCAAAGCAACTTCCTTTGTGCACTGAGTTCTTGTACAGAAATACGGACTCTTGAGGCCACTGAATACATGGCTTTTTAATTTGGCTGCGGCTCAACAGCAGGACAGAAGCACTCAACACT